AACCTCACATTTATATTAAATTCACATGTTCTTGCTTTTTTTAAAAGGCGTAAGCTGCCTTGGCATGGTTTGGTCCTCGCTGGGGGGGGCCGATAAAACCAGTTCCGGCGAATTCGTAGGCTGGTGCGGAGGATGGCAAAACTGACTGATGATGCCGGCGAAACGTTTGAGATTGTACCAAGTGCATTGTCTGATGCTGGGAATCAATACAACTACTATGGCAGACGACTTAGGACTATGTGCGTTCTACTAAGTCGCCATGACAACAAGACCAAGTTGTGACAGAGGTCAACCCACTTCTATAAGTCGAAAGGAAACTGCGACCATACCCGAGGCCACAATATCTTGGTCTTCATATCTTGTTTTTAAATTAGATTTTTCATAGTACCAATACATGAGATGTGAAATAAAATTCAACTATCGTCCTCATATATTAAAATTAAATCTGGTGGTAGTCTTTAAAATATATTTAAGACAAAATATGTTTGCTTATTGTGACATGACTTTTTATTTCGTGTGAAAATTTGGTTCAAGTGAATTCATGGATTGGTCTCATCCGAAACCGAAGAGGAATTGCCTTAAAGGAGTGAGGGCTTGAACTTTAACCAATTTTTCTTTTGAAATGAAAAAGCATTGTTGAGCTTCAGCATGAATGTTCCAGTAAAGCCAATCGACAGCTGGTCAAGAGGAATCCGCCGCTGTTTTCTGGCTGAATCGAGCTTCTCTTCACCGCACACTTTCACTCGAAATGGAAGTCAGCTCAACAATAATCAAACAAGAGATTCCTCGAAAACCAACTTTTCTTTGCATATGAAAAATCATGTCACAATATAAAACACGATTTTCACACAACAAATACAAATGAAAATTATCATCTGCACTTCAGCTACAAGGCTTTGCGGATATCGAGGACCCCTTTACCTTACTTTTGCGCTCACGACGGGACAGACGAGAGTTGGGCACCGATTTGTCGGACTCAACGGAGGATGAGTCGAGGACCCGTTCGCGCATGTCTGCAATCGCAACCGCCCTGCCGCCATCTCCTTTCGGTGTACAAGAAAGACCAATTCATCAAGCCCTTCTTCCTTCCATTCGGAAGCCTCTGAAATGTACCAAATCGCTAAGTTCTTAAAGTTGACATGTCCATGCCTTCAACACTAGGTTGTGTCGTCGGTGCGATTTTGTAGAATGTTGGCTGTCCGGATAGTCTCCAACATCGGTCAGTCATTGGGGGCCAATCGAACCTCCTAATCCCCTTCGTCTGCTTCGGTCTTTAGACGAGTTATTTTTTTCCCTTTTTGAATTGTTCTTCATATCTCACGCTACTTATATCATATTAGTAGTAACAACAATATTGGTTATAATGGTGTACAACATTGTTGATATTGGTTATAGATTTGCAAATCTGGAGCACCTTCAGAGCGTACAAGGCTTCCGCCTAGTGAGATGCAACAAGCGGCAGTTGAGGCATGACAAACGACACATAATACGACTGGATTGCAGGAGCTTCCGTGGTGCAGTGCTCTCGTCTTCT